TCTGCAGAGCAGAACTTGCCTTCCACAGCAATTATTTTTAGTTAGCATATAGCTAAAATCTAACCATGGTTATATACAGTAATAGCAGCTGCATTCTGGCGTGATAAGCTGTATGTTTTATATTCATTTAACATATAATCCGATTAGTCGACTAATCGAAAAAATAATCGGTGATGAATCAATTATAAAAATAATCGCTTGTGGCAGCCCTAGTCCCAACGTGGGCATGGAACCTGGCACACACAACTTTATTGTGCACCCTTACATAGAAACAGGCCATTTCTGTATTTGTTTTATTGTTTCTTTCAAGAACTCAACAAAGTGTCATGAATGTTAATTTATTATAAAATTAATAAACAAACACCCTTGCTTTCATAGAGGATCTGCATTCAGGCAACAAGAGGTGAAGAAGTGGAGATTRTACCTTTCCCTCACTCTTCCATGTGATGAAAAAGCCGTACTCGTCCACCTTCATCTGACAGTTGGGCTCAAAGATGTATGGGTCCTGCAGAGGACAAAATTAATCTTTTGTAAGAGAAGAGGCTTCATCCATCACAGAGTTTCAATGGCCGTGGCCTCGCATTACACAACCTGCAAAGATTACTCAATCAGACAGGTAGATGAAGCTCGAATCCATTTGAAAAGATGCTTGAAGACACACAAGTGGAAGCTTGCACACACAGTCATGCCCAAATATATTCTGTTGTGTGCAGCAGAGATGAAACATATTACCGAAGTAAAAAAAGATATATGTGACTGTCATTATTGCAGACTGAAACAAAAAATATCCATCTATGGGGTCAAAAAGATCCTCGGCGAGTCTTCAGCCCTGCTCCTGTGATCCTGCAGCACATATAGGTCACATATTGGTCTGCAATAGATAAGCTGAAAGGCTAAGTATAGTAAAAAAAATTACCCTGACTCACCTTAATTAACTGATTTTATTGGTTTCTCCTACATTTGGTTACCTGGAATCTGAGATTTTTCAACCAAATGAAAATGTTTTATTCCATTCATCACATATCTCAGATATAAGAGGTAAAAATAGAGGAGTAAATGGCTGTTAGGTCACTCTTACTCTAATATTAGAAACAGAGAACAGTGTGATGCACTGGTGCGCGTTCACACACACACACACACACACACACACACACACACACAC